TCATAGAAGAGGCCTAGAGTAGCACCAGGTGACCTAGTTCATATAATGAATAATACAAGTAGCACAGTTAAAGAAGCAATGTCTATTAGCGGAAGTATACAGTAATACTCTAACGTAGCTAATCTCCAAAAGCTGAAGTTGTTCATTCACAACTATCTAGTTGCAACTAGCAACTAGCATTGTATTTTTCACAACACTTACTTATGCCATGTAAAAGTACTCGTATAAAACACCACATGTGAAAATAAATATGAAAAACAAACAGATAAATTTTCTATTTATGAGTGATTTATTTGCCTACATCATTACAGGGGAAAAATTGAAAGAAACTCAAAAATAAACCAAACATTTTAAAGGAAGTTCATCCTGATACAGAAGATAATCCTGTATTTCCATCAAATTTCTGTTACTCAAAATCTAGCTTGTGTAAGAATAGACTTTTACTTACTAGGGTGTATGATATGGTTGTGCTTGGATTTTAATATAAGCATAGATGCATGATCAAGCAACGTGACACATCAATCTTAGGTGTTTTTTTTTTAAATATACAATTACATTTTTTTACTATTATTTCAGAGATATTTTCTTATTTTATGTATTTCAGATATAGTTCCATGAAGTTGTAACTCACAAAAGAGAAGCAATAAAATAGGAAGACTAAGACTAACATAGTAATAGTTTCTCTGTCTTTATTGTTTGAAATAGTTGAAAGATACAGAAGAAATTGAATTTGGGGCAAATGCTAGTTAGAGGACTTACGATCTCATTCTGCACTCATGAAAACTACAGACAATTTCACTGAAGGCATAGGAGCTATTTTATATAAACACTGAATAGCTAAGAGATGTCAGGATTCATAAGTATGGATTTTCTCAGTACTCAGAATATTATTTCAAAGATGAGGAAATAATAGTTACTTGACTGTTCAAGCTTTATTTAACATTGATGTCTTTGGGATCTATTTTGATTAAAAGTTCTGTATGTGATTGTGGAGGGCAAGTATGGCAAGCTCCTTTACACAGAAACTCTATATCAACCTCCCTAAGATGTACTGAGAAAATTCAGCTTGTATGTACTTCCATAGAATGAGTTGAAATTAGATACACTTAGATAAAAGATAATATTTTTGCAGGGGCGGTCTCTTTTACTTTTTGTAATTTCCTGAAAGTTGAAAGCTTTCTTTTAAAAACACAATGTAATAAATTAGTTATCTTTTCTTCTTCCAAAATTAAATTGGTTAATACAACATAGACACTTGTTGATGATGTAGTATTAATAATGGCCTTAAAAAAACAAACTTCAGGCAAAGAGTAATACCAACAAAGATGTCAACAGCTGTTCCAAGACAGAAAAAACATGAGCCTTGCAGTCTTCTGGGTCCTATTAAATCTCATATCATGAACACATTTTTATTTTATTTTATACCTTTCTTTAAAATAGCAGGCTTAAGTGGAAAAAAAAATGGATTATCATAACTACCTTACACTGATCAAAATTATTCCTGTGATTAAATGATAACTGTATGAAAGAAGAATTCTCTCTACCTCAGTAAAGACCTCAGTAATATTAAATAGTTATACTGAGAATGTTAAGAATATAGAATATGTTCACTTTGTGAGCATAAGTATTGCTGTATTTAGATCTGACTGCACCTCCCTCTTCCAGTATATTCTCTCTCTCACTCTATACGGTTGACTAATAGTTCTGGTTTTGGAGAAGAGAGGTACATGTTTAAAACAAAGCAACAAAACAAAAAGAAATCAAACAGTATTAGATTAATTGCTTTTAAGATCTTTCAAGATATTTTACAAAGAAAATATTTTCAAAATATTATGATGCATTATGTGAAATACTATTTTCTTCTTTATAATCTTTATCTTGAAAATTCCTTTGTTTGGATTTGTGTTTGTATTAAAGAGATAAGAAGCAACCATTCCTTATTTACTTTCTCTTCAAACTTTTTGCTTCTATAGACTTTTGGTAAACACCAGCATTTGCCTTTTTCCAATATAAAACACTAATACCACTTCAGGTGGAAGCAATTCTTACCTCTGATCCTTTTCACAATGGGCTGAACAAATCCACCAGATGTAAACCCACAACAGTTTAAGATAAAGACAATAATGTTTTCTGGTTTAGTCTAACTCCCTTTGTTAATCTGTGCTAGCGTATTCTGTATCTTTCTTTTCTTTTTTTTTTTATTGGCAGTGATCACTGACCTAATAATTTCAAAGAATTCCCCAATGTAGTTTCAAGAACTTTTTCTTGCACTTTAATGACTAGTCTAGCATAGCCCTGGATAACCCATTATGTTTTTCATTCTGACATGAATTAGGACCAGTTCTAAAAATTTGTGTTGTATTTGTGGTCATTTAACTTCACAAGTAATTTTATTGAGTTACTCATTTTTCTTAAAGCCCCTTTATAATGTACTTCTTGCTTATTTCCTAGGGCATCTTGACATTCTACCATACAATTTTGCATATTTATTGAGCCTCTCAATCACTCCAGGCAGCCACGTTTTTGAAGTTTCGTGTTCCAAAGATTGCTTATTTACATCTGTCTCTGTGCTAGCTTAGTGCTATAGCGCATCCCTAGGTCTAAAATCTAGGCATCTAGGTAAGACTAAGTTGGGTCCTCTTCAATGGATTCCTTACAGTGGATTTTATTTTTCTTTTTAACAAATTCTACAGTACACTATATTGCATCTTAACATTGCTTTTTAGGGCAAGTATGGTAAATTGGTCTTCAATGACACCTTTCTCTCTCAATTATACAAGAGTGCTAGAAAAGATTCCTAAATTAGATTAATATCATAAATCTCTAAAGTGTAATGAATCCCAGCTTTAGTAAAATCTAGCTGCTGATATTTAATCTGTTTCACCTGAAAGTGCTCAAGGAGGTTTAGAAAATATCATGAGAAAGATGTCAGAGGCATTGTGGTTTACCCATCGCTCTGTAAAGAACCACTTGAGACACTAATAACTGTTTCTCAAGAGAAATCTTGAAGCTTTTTCCTTCATCCTGTACTCCAAAAGTTATTATGTTTATCTGAAGGAGAGTCACAATGGGTGATCCTGTTATCAAGAACCTTCTATACTACGGATGACCCTTCAAATCCAAGCATAATTCAGAATAGTATATCAGCTTATAATTGCAGGTCAAAAGGTTTGGAGTGGGTTTTTTTACCTTTTGGTTTGGTTTGGTTTTGGGGGTTTTGGGGGGGTTTTGTGTTGTTTGTTTTTGTTTTTTTTTTTTAATATAAAAATATTGCAAAACTAGTACTAATCCCCAGTCTATTCAACCTTGGTCAAGCCTCAGAGCTCCAAACTTTTTGAAACAGTACTTCAAGCCACTTTTAATGGCACTGCTTTTTCTAACGTTCATCATTGCAGTAAGTGTTCTTAAAGTCAATAGATTTCTGACATTTACTTGTCCTTTCTCTCATCTATCTTCTTCTGTCAATATTCTATCAAAGTAATTTTCATCTCATCAGACTGCTTTTATCACTACTTTAACAGTGATTTTTACAGCTTTTTAATTTTTTTTAACCTTATGTTTCCTTTTTTTGTTGTATATAAAATATAAAACCACATTTGGAATCAATTCAATTTTTCAAGTCTCTGATAAGTTGTGGAGAAATTAGGCGTCTGAATGATGTAAGAAGGCAAAAGGTTAGCTTCACTACAGGCTTTATAAATTAAGTTAAACAACAATTCCTATAAGATCTGTTATAATATTTCCAGATGTTTTAAGAGTTTACTGAGATGAAAATAAAATATGGAGGTGAAAGTTCCTTGACTCCCAGAATTTGTAGTAATCACATTTAATAATATTTATTTCTGAAATTGATTTGGAAGAAAAAAAAAACAAAACAAAATAACAACCACAACGAACTCAAAGTTATTCTCACTTGAGCAATTTAGTATTTAGTTAAAGGATACAACTGACATTTCAAGAGCTCAGTTCTTGTCTTGGAAAAGTTGAAAAACATAACTCCCTATCTTCCAAGAAGCATGAAAAAAAAAAAAATACAAATGGCATAAAATCTTGCTTCTGTAGTGAGATACTTCATTCTTAATCTTTGCTAGAAATTCAACCCCTTGCCTGCTACCAGGGCACTAAGTCACTTTTGCAGTTGATCTGCAGGTGGAGCAGCTTCTGGTTTTAAGACACAAGTTTTCAGTCTTTGCCATCACTGGCATGTCTATTTCCCAACCCCATAGGTACAGACTCTACCACAACTCCTTCAGCAGAAGTGGAGATAGAGGCTTTTCTTGTAGCTAGAGGGTCTCAGGGAAGATCCAGTTATCTCTTTCTGGTGATCTCTTTTTTTTTTTTTTTTTTTGCACAGGCTGCTGAAACAACTCCTTCACTTGGTGACACAGATGTTCTACTGTCCTGGGTTCAGCAGTAGCATTCATGTTTCTCCTTCATGGTAGCTGGTGCAGTGCTGTGTTTTGACTTCCAGCCTGGGAACAGTGTTGGTGAAACCGATGTTTTTGGTTCTTGCTACGTGATGTTTACCCTGACCAAGGACTTTGTGAGGCTCATGCTCTGCCAGGGAGGAGGGGATGCCATGAGGAAGCAGAGGCGGGGCACCTGACCCAGGCTAGCCAAAGAGGTATTCCATACCACAGCACGTCATGCCCGGGGTGGGGGGTAACTGGGAGTTACCCAGAAGGACACGGGCTTCTGGGTGGGATTCGTTTCTTGGCCGGTGGTATCGTATTCTCTTCCCTTGTTATTTTCTCTTTTCATTGTTGTAGTTGGTGGTAGCGGTGGTGATTTGTGTTGTACATTGGTTGCTGGACTGTTCTTGTTTTTTGTTTTGTGTTGTTTTTTTTTTTTTATTATTATTATTTTTTGGTTGGTTGGTGGTGTTTATTGAATTATTATTTTTTATATATATATTTTTGGTTTGGCTTGGCTTTTTTTTTTTTTTTTCCCTGTTGCGGTTTTACTATGGGTTTTTTCAGGTGTTTTTGTTTGGTTTTGCATTAGATTTTTTTCAATTTTGTTTCCTTGTTGTTTCTTTTGTTTCTGTTTCAGCATCTCTCTGCCCACCATGAGCAGTTGTCAATGAAAACACAGTGGTGCAATTCAGTGCTCCTTTCTGTTGCCTGCCTGCATTTTCTTTTAGAAACAAGTTTCTCTTTACTTCTGGACCTTAACAGGTGTCTAAGATATGCAGCTGTATTCCAACAGCAAGCAGTACTCTTCTGGAGCTTATCTGAATCTTTTTCAAGGTGTAGCAGTAGTTCTTCTGCATTCACAAATATCTTTCTGTCATTTCTTTCCTAATCCAAAGACTCTTTCAGAATACTTTCTTTCTTATTTTCCATTCTGCAGGATGCAGATGGCAAGGCAAAGAGATATGACTGTTGTAATTCTTTCTGCTTTTTTACTACCAAAGCTAAAGAGCCAGTCAAAGAGTAGTCTTGTGACATACCATGAAGTTACTGGAAGTCCTTTCCAACCCTAACTATCCTATTCTAACCCTAACTATTCTATGATCATATGAAGTGTGTACTCAAACAGTATGAAATAACAACAACCCTATAAGGTGCTTCCTAAACTATATCCTAAATATATCCTATATCCTATAATCTGTTTCCTAAACTATAACCTAAATCTATCCTAAAGTATATCCTAAAATTTGGTTCTAAAAGACATAGTAATAGATGAATAAACATAGTTATAAACACAGTAACAAGTGTATTAACAAATGTAGTAACCACCGTAGTAACAATGATAGTAACAAATGTGGCAGTGAACATGGGAAGCTGAAGTACAGAGGCCAGCTCCCCACTTGTGGAGATGCACCAGCAGTTTGGCATTTGCTGGCGGGGCTGAGGAGTGAGCCAGCAAGGCCGCCTGTGAGGGCTGGGATAGGTCTGAGGGCGCTGCTCTGGCTCCGGGACAAGATGGTGGAACCTTCCATTCAGAGCAGGACATGGTGGCTCTGTCCTCGCCGCTGCCGAGGTGGTGCTGGGGTCCCAGGGTGGAACTCCAAGGCCAGGAAGCAGAGCGCATGAGGGGAATTCAAAGCAGTAAATGGGCACCTACAAGGGCAGAATCAGAAAGCACTGATGAAGCCATGAGGGCAGGAGCAGGCGGGACTTGGCTCCTGGCTTTTTTTTGGAAATATGCTGTAAAAGAGGTCATTGCTAGCACAAGAGAGAGGCTCCTTACAGGTTCCCTACTGGCAACTACAGTGTTGCTTTTGTCCCTTCTCAATACATGTGATACCCTCAGAGCACGGGAAGCTGTAAGAGATGTGCAGAGCCACCCTGCCAGGCAGCAGGGCTCAGCAGGGAGCCTGGGAGGCAGGGAGTCTGGGAATCTGGGATATGGTCCTTTCCAAAAACCTAGCAGCAGCATCCCTTGCTTTGCCATACTAAAATCAGAGGTTGGCAGGCAATGCTGGGTGAGCATGTTTCTCCTGACATACATGTTCCCCAGAGGGAAGGACCATACTGTGCACCTCAGGAGTGTTTCCTATACTCAGAGCTTGGCAAAAAGATGGAACACAGGCTCTGCTACATACCTGGGTGCCTTGTTCTTCCCCTGCTTGAATTTCTTCAGTTGCCCATCCCTGAGAGCTCAGTTTTGCTCTTCTTCTGGCACAGTGGCCCGTCGCTGCCCTTTTCCCAGGCTGCTCTTCATTTCCTGGTGTTGCGTGAAGAGCCTGAGAACCTTTCCATTCAATAGTATTGTGAGACAGGTAAAGCCATGGTTACCCTGAGCCAAGCAAAGCCAGGCAGTTTTACCCTTTCTCCCTGGAAAATCTCGTCTGCTGTTCACTCTCAGGAGCAACAGGAGGCACCTGCAATGGCAATGTGTAGGTTAGCAGGGGGCAAGGACCTCCCTGCACAATTTCTACCCTAACTCTAAAAGGTGCATCCTTTGGATGGGTTTGGTCAGCTCAGCTGAGCCAGCTGTGGTGGGATCATTTCACAAAGTGGGATGGCCAACATGCATCAGCCTTGCTCTGTACTTTGGCAGAGCTGCAGGCTGGTGGATGACCATGCTTGTCCCTGCAGAGACAGCAGCCCCACCTTCTGAGGGGAGAGGCTTTTGTTGTCACACTGCTTGTGCACTTCACTTACCTCTGCTGTTTCCAGCTCTGCTTGTGCTGCTGGTGTCTCCTCATCCCCCTTGCTGGCCAGCCCAGCCACCTGCTCTCCAAGGAGTTCCTCATGGTGTTCAATAAGGAACTCGAAGAGCTTCATCACCTGCACACAGCAAACCATTGGTTTCACTGAGGGGGCTGATGAGGGCTCAAACAGCCTTTCCCAGCCTGACCTGTGCTTCTGTGCAGGAAGGTGCAGCCATGGGGCTGCTCTTCCCAGCTGCTGACCCATGGCTTTGCTGACTGGAGGAGGCAGCCAGGACCCTCTGAGCAGCAAAGCTGGTCTGGGCTGGTGACGCTGTAGCCAGGTGGTCAACACAGCGCACCTTCCCTGTCTCCAGAGCCAGGACATCCAGGGGCAGCTCCTGGGGTGGGCTCAGAAGGTTTGGTGCCAGGCAGATGGGAGGTTCCCAGCAGTCATCTTCGTCGTGGCCACATTCTTGCTGATGCTGATAAGCAGTGGCAGCAACTGCCAGAGCAGGAGTAGGTTGGCCTCTGGTAGCTTGCTGGCCACCCTGAGGGAACATGAGCACAGTGTTAATGAAGCCGGTGTTGACAGCACAGGTCTCCCAGGCTGATCTCACCCAAGGCCACTGTCTGCTCTACAGCAGAGGGACTGCCTATGCTGAGATACGGCCACCTCCCTCCCTGCCCTTCTGTAAGAGGTCCTTGTTGCAGCAATCCCCAACACCTGTGGGAAGTGATCCCCAGAGAGAAAAGCTTTTTCGTGCCCCTCTCCCACAAACATAAACCCCACAGCAACAGGAGGTGGCTTGCAGGAGCCATGGCTATTTCAGGCAGGCCATTGCTTTGCAGCTCACTCCCAGCCTGTGCCAGTCCCTGCTGGCTGTGCCACACTTACTCTTTCAGTGCTGCCAGCCTGTCCTGTCTGCAGGTCTTGTTCATGACACGCATCCACTCCTCGAAAAGCTGGAAGTCGAGGAGCTTTGAGGGGATATTCTGGAGGAGGTCCTGCAGTACCAAGGGCTCCATGTGAGGCTTTGGCCACTGCACCCAGGAGCACCTGCAGCATCCCCACGCCTCTGGCTCATGAGCAGGCAGCTGGGTTTCTGCTTGTGCTCCCGCAGGTGCCCATCAGCACCAAGAGATCCAGGAGCTGCGGGGCTCTCTGTCAGCAGGGCTCACCTTCAAGAGGACAGCCAGCAGCAGCATGGGCTGGTTTTCCAGCTGCACTGGCACCCCACTGTCCAGGGCCTCCCTGACCTTGTGGCAGGCATGCTGGCTGGCTGCCAGCCGGAAGATCCCCTCCGTGGATGGGCCATGTTCATTGAGCAGAGCCAGCAGGTCCTGAGGGCACAGAGGTAGAGAGTTGCTGGGTTGGAGACAGGCCCTGAGGTAAGTGCTGGGGACAGCCTCTCCCTGGAGGAGACAGTGGGACAGGATGGGATAGGATGGGGTGGGATGGGATGGACTGGGATGGGATGGGACCCCACAACCAGGCTGGCTTGCCTAGATGGACTGAGGCAGCATGCTGTCCTGGCTGCAGAGATCTGCCAGGGGCCGGACAAAGAGAGCTCCCACACCAGCAGAGCCTGATGGCCCTGGTGCCCCTACTGCAGCCAAGGTCCCTTGCCGTGCCAATGGCCAGGGCAGCCTCCTGCTCCTCCTGCTCCTGTGGGTCCCGCTTGCCAAGAGAAACAGAGTAAAGAGCCGTGGAGGAAAAGCACCAGGGGAGCCCTCCCAGACTCCCTCGGTGCTGTCCCCCCCTGCCACCGAGGGCACAGAAGAGGCAGCAACATATTGGACTGAGGGGACGTGGGGTTCAGCTCTCTCCTGCTGCAGAGTGATGAGGATGGACGTGCCCTGCGGGAAGGGCAGCAGCATCCCCATTGCCACACATGTGCCAGCCTGCAAGAGCAGGAGAGAAGGGCCATCCTGCCCCTGTCTTCTCCACACTCACCATCCACGTGGCCACGTAAACCCTCACTACTGGAGAGGACAGGAACTGGCAGCTGCCTGGCACCAGCCTGCAAGAAATGGGCTGCACTCACCAAGGATCCACACAGCAGAAAGGGCTCCTGGACAGCTGCATCAGCCCCTGGCTGTGCATGAGAAGTGGGGATGGGTGAGACTGCACTGCAACGGACCCTGACCTGGGCCTGGTGCTGTAGCAGCTTCTTCAGGCTGCCGGCATCCAGTGTCATCTCCTGGGCAAGGGAAAAAGAGCAGAAGGTGAGGAGCGATGCAGCTGACGCTGGGCTGGAGGAGCCCCTGGGGACAGAGCAGAGACCAGAGGGACACTCACAGCATGGCGGCCGCTCAGCTCCTTCATCACCATCCTGATGGACGGCAGCTGGGTCCCCCTGGCTCCCTGAAGTCCTTCCCGTGGTCTGTGTATGGGGAAGGGGCAGAGAAAGAGCTGTGTGAGACCCAAGCCAGCTCTTCCCTCTGCTGCCAGACTGGGGAGCGCTTCCATAGTGCCCGGAACAGCCAGTACCACCCAGCAGTGGAGCGGGAGCAGCGGGAATGGCGAGGATGGGGCTGGGCATGTGTTGGCTGGACACAGCTGGATGAAGCATCTTCACCAGATGTGCCTGCTCAGCAGTGGGGGCACCTCTGCCTGCAGCTGTGGGGCACCTCTACCCAGCTCAGAAGAGGTGTTTTCTCATTGTTTGGATGCCACTCATGGAGCATCTCCCCATGATGGGAGCACAGGCAGCCCAGGCTGCAGTGCCAGGCAGGGCTTACCCAAGGAGGGTGCTGATCCAGAGTTCCTTCACTACTCGGGAGCTGCCAAAAAAAGAGAAGAAACAGCCTCAGTGCCTGCTGTGCCCCAGCAGATGATGCCCCATGGGGCGGGGCAGGGCAGGGAGAGGTACGGCCCACCCCTCTGGTGGGATGTTGCACCAAGACTCACCAGAAACTGACAACACAGGAGCCACAGGGCCAGAGGAAGACAAGGGAGCTGGAGGCATTCCATTCCTCCTCCTCTTCAGCAGCATCGCCAGCTGAGCCCTTCTCACTGCTCAGCACCTGCAGCAGGCCCAGAGCCAGGCACAGCAGCGGGTGTGGGGTGCTGCCAGGTCTGCAGAGAAGAGGGGCAGGGAGTGAGCTGGAGGTGGCCAAGCCCAGTGGCTCCCCTCTTGTTCATGCCTGCCATGGGCATGGCCACAAGTGCATCCAGCACCAAAGTGCCAGAGGCCTGGGGCTGCTCCTTGGCTGTCCCTGCTCTGGCACTCTGGTGCTAGGGGCAGGGCTTGGGAGGAAAGGCAGCTGGGCTCTGGTTGTCTTACTTGGTCTTGGCGATGACCAGGGTGTCTCTGAAGAGGAGGAGGTCCCTCTTCTTCTTCTGGCCATGGCCCTGGGTCACCCACACACGCTCCCTGAGCAGCAGCTCAGGCAATGCCAGATCGGGCTCACAGTGCTGGTCGGGGGAAGGGTCATCCCTGCAGAGCAGGCGGCGTTTGGCATGAGCAAGGTGGCTGCTGCTGGTCCTTGCTGTGCCGGTGCATCCCCAAGCTGTGGGGCAACTCACCTGGACCCACAGCAACAGAGCCACTGCCCCATCCTGACAGGGCTGGGGGAAGACATACGTGTAGAAAACTCCTTGAAAAATACAACAGGAGTACTCCTCCACAAAAATGAAGTACCGCCAGTGCCTCTGGTGCTGCCACTCACAGCACCGTTCATGCAGGCACCGGAGCTGTTGCTGGGGCAGCACTGGGTTAGAACGGAACACCACTGTGACCTTGGTTCTGGAACCTGGGGGTCCAGATGGGGGGAGCCCTGTGAGCCTCTCCCCAGGATGTCCATGTCCAGCCTTGGTCCCAAGGTCTGCTTTAGAACTGCTGTGTCCACCAATGGAAAGTCACTGCTCCTGCAGCCATGGTCTTCCCACTCACAGGACCTGGGGAGCCAGGGAGGCAATGCAAAAACATTAAATGCCTCTGTCTTTTCTTCATCCCCGCTTTTCAGTGTCCATCTTCATAAAGTCAAGGTCCCAATACTTTCCTTAGGCCTCTGCTTGTTATTAGCATACTTCAAAAAGCCTTTTGTTGTTTGACAGAACACTGACCAGTTTCATCTCCAGCTGAGCTTTGGCCTTTTGTGATGTCTCCCTCCATGTGTGAGCCACAGCTCGGCAGTCTACCTGGGAAGTTTGACCTTACTTCTAGAGAGCATACAATTTCTGTTCCCACCCCAGTTCCAGGAGGAGTTCCAAGCTGCTCTTCTGCTGCACCTGCTTGACTTCCATTGACACAATGGGAGTGCTGCTCCTGCGCTTTCAAAAGATGGTTCTTTAAAAGCGAGCAGCTCTCATGGTCCCCTAAGTCCTCAAAAGCTCACACCCAGGAGACCCTGTCAAGTAGGTCCCTTTGTAGCTTCAGTTTTGCTCTCTTGATACCCAGGGTAGCAAATCTGCCGAACTTTTCCCTCATGACACCCAAAAGTTTGAGCTCAACTCTTTGGGATTAGGGTGGCCAAGACAGCCTCCCACCATCACACCTCGCATGCATCCCTCTTGATTCACAAAGAGCAAGCCTAGGAGGGCACCTTTCCTAGCTGGCTCACTGAGTACTTGTGGAAAGAAGCTGCCTTCCCCAGACTTCAGGAATTCTGCAGCCTCACTTGTCCCAGCAGTGACAGTATGGTATTGCCAGCTGAGGTGTGGGAAATGAAAATCTCCCAGAAGGGTGAGAGCTACCTATCCAGAAATTTCTCCTAATTGCCTATAGAATGCTGTCTGTGTTTGTTGTGGTTTAAGCCCAGCTGGTAGCTCAGAACCACACAGCCACTTTCTTGCTCCCTCCCTTCTCCCCCCGCCCCGGAAACCCTGCTCCCAGAGAAATGGGAAGGACAATCAAAAGAATATAACTCTCATGGGTTGAGATAACTGGTAACTAAGGTATAATGCAAAACCACTACTGCTATCACCAATAATAATGATGATAAGGGAAATAACAAGGGGAGAGAATATAAAAATAAAGTGTGAAAAGGAAAAGAAAACAATAAATAGCAGTGATGCACAACATAATGATCCTGGGGACAGACTCTTCCTTAGAGATTGTAGTGATTGGACAAGGGATAACAGGTTCAAACTTAAACAGGGGAAGTTTAGATTGGATATTAGGAGGAAGTTCTTTACTGTAAGTGTGGTTGCTCAAAGATGTTGTGAATGCTCCATCCCTGGTGGTGTCAAAGGCCAGGTTGGACAGAGCCTTGGGTGACGTGGTTTAGTATGGGGTGTCCGTGCCCATGGCAGGGTGGTTGGAACTTAATGATCTTAAGGTCCTTTCCAACCCTAATTATTCTATGATTCTATGAGTCTATGAAATGTTCTAGGCTAACAAAGCCCTTGAACTGCATTTTCCATCTGCTTATCACTGTCTTCTAAATTACAGCTTTTTTTTTATTCTACTGGAGTATCTGAGAATCCAGTTCTCCTTAACACTTGCTAGGAGCTGGAGATCACACTTTAGAAGAGGATTTTGAGAGGTGAGGTCTACACTCATGGGACTACGCTAATGTTAGGTGAAGTAAGCTAAGGGTGGGTATTGAATGGCACTGGCAGGACAGAAAGATCAAGGATAAGTCACAAAATGCTGAGCTGTTGATAACAGGAAATACTTTAACTTGGAAAAATCCTTGTGTGTTTTTTCCTCAACACTGTTTTCTCTGTACTTCACACTAAATCTCTAAGGTTTTGATGCCAATGCAGACAAATTATCATTCATCAGGGAAGAAAGACTCACTGCATGAACTCCCAAGAAAACACTTTTGGCATGTTTTTTTTTCTTCTGTTGACATCTGTGACCTAAACCGAAAGTCACTTCTAATGTGTCTGTCTGTGGTTAGGGTAGAGAATAATGCAGTGCATTTAAAAGAAATATGTGTGCCTTTATTGATTTGTATTTGACTACACTTCGTGTCTAGTTCTTCTTAGCACAATTTATAAGCACATTTAAACAAGATACTTCTCCTGAGTTTGCATTACCATTCAGTGAAAATGGCTATGGCATGCATTATTTTGCATTTGCTGCATTGCAGTTGGGTTGTGCAAGGGCTGAGCAAATGATGATGATTCATGTGATGATTCCCCAGACTGTTTCAGGAGGTTTTGAGTAATCAGTCCGCTACAAAGCTAAGCCATAAGTAAAGTGATTTGGTTTTGAACATTCCATCCATGAGGCCTAAATAACACAAGTGCTTAAAAAGTGTTATTCTGGAACTGTGTGCTAGTGATATACCAAGTCCGAAATTATGCCTGAAAGAGATAATATTACGGAAAAGCTCTAGCTTTGACATTAAAGGCAAGTGATTTTTTGCAGAAGCTAAGGAAAAATACTGAAATTAAACTATTTTGCAGGAGGGGTGGCTTTTTTGGTTTGGATTTTCAGTAAAAACTTAAGGGAGAAAGAAGAAATTAAAATACAAAATAGCCATCAGCAATATCTTAGGTAAGAAATATGATAGAAATTATAACTAACTGCAAATGGAGCAGTAACTCCCTGAAATTTCACTGACTGTTACAAATGCCAAACATATTAAAAGCTCAGACTCAGATGTCCACAAATACTCCTTTACATTCATTGCCATTGCATTCCCATATATTCCCTTCCATTATTTCCCTATATTTTTGGACTGAGGATCTCAGCTTAAACACCTGAGGACATACATGAAATATGTGCATATATATGTGAATGTACATCTGTAAATCTGAAAGAAAATTTTTAATTCAGGAGAGGAAAAGAGTTTTCTAAAGCTGAATGAGAAACAGCCTCACCGCTGGGCAGTAAAGTAACTTCTTCACGTGGCACTGAAGCTGCTAGAATTACATGAGTAGGTCTTACTCTTCTCTATGGAAATTTATTTTTAGAGGAGCGGGGTGAGTTGGCCTTGGCTGGCTGCCAGATGCCCACCCAGGCGCTTTATCACTCCCCCTCCACCAACAGGACAGAAGGAAGAAAGTAGAACAAAAAGCTCATGAGCTTAGCTTTTAAAAACAGGCAGATAACTCACCAATTATCATCATGGCAAAATAGACTCAACTTGGGGAAAATATTTTATTGCCGTTTAATTGTAACAGAATTGGATAGTGAGAATTCAAAACAAAACTAAAACCAGTTTCCCCTCACCCTCCCTTCCTCCCAACCTTAACTTCATTCCTAAATCTTCTGCTTCCACCCATGCCCAGATGGGGAAAGGG